TCATGTCCACCAGGTTTGCCCGACCGTTAAAGACTTCTCATTGGAACTTCACCTCTTGAAGCTAGTCACTAATGAGCTCCAGAATGTCTGGGTTAGATCCCTGGTGGGGTCATGAATGTGCACTGCTGAAGAGTCCCATACTACGACAAAACAGCTATCCAGTGTTCTTAGATTTCTAGTGTTCCTCCAACCAATATCAGTTCATGATGAGTGCCAACTTGAAGAAATAACTTTCATTTTTAGCTGTCATGTTTTTAAAATTCAGCAGTGATGATCTTTTGAAAGACTGCCTTACACTCTTTCACGGTTTTTACCATGTCTTGTTAATGCACTTTGGATTTCACTTATTTTCTGAAAAAGGTTTCCTGATTAGCTAAGGCTCGTTAAAACCTGCCAGGTTTTCCGTCATTGTACAAGTTCAAAATTGATTTAAGTATATATTCGGAGTGACTTTAAAGACCACCCTAACAACTACTAAAATAACCATTTATTTTGCAATTTGCTTTCTGACGGCTATTAGTGTAATCCAGAACACCTGTTTAGTCTTATTTGGGACTCATATGACAACAGAGGTCGAGGAATTCGATCCAGAGTAACAACAGGAAATAATAATTATTTATAAATGATAATAATAGCTGATACTCATTACACAAAAGGTAGTTTCCGTGACTCAGTGGATAGTGCTTTGGAGTTCGAAGCAATAGGTCCTGGCTTCGAATCTCAGTGGGAACAACATCACCCACTAAGGTGCAGGTACGTTAAGCCAACGAGTTCTAAATAGGACGAAACGTACATCCCAGATTCTAGTGCTAGCCAACACTAAGAAAAATTCAACATATTGAATATTCGGGCTATATCAAGTCATCCACATAGATGCCCATATGTCAATAGAGGTACATCAGTTTGATCGACAATAACAACAGGAAATTAGAAGCACTATAAGTGAATTAAATCAAGAACCAAAATGGTTATTGTAGTCATTGTTTGGGGGACTTTTAGAGGTTCTCTAGATACAGTTGTGACTATAATAGCTAGCCTAGTAATTGCTGAAACAACCAACCAGCTTAAGTAAAGAAACTTAGTTGACTACTCTAGAGGTTATCGGGAATAATTTTGTATGTCGCAAGGTAATGAAATCCTTCATTGCAGATCTACGTTCTTTGTTTTTAATCATGTTTATGCATCGATATTTCTGAGTGTTTTGAGCGTGCATTGCAGAGAATCACACAGCAGCGTGGTGCTCTTGAATTCATTAAATCAAAAGATTTGAAAACTAATTGTACAGTTGTAGAAAACTATCATAATATGTGGGCTGTTCAGATAGACATTTCATGTATATATTAGTCAACGAGTGATGACTAATCAAATCATGCCAAGTGTTTGAATGTGTTAGCAAATGATATTACTACTAAACAATTTGAGTAGTTAGAAATCACTGCAACAGATCTGTAGTATTTCACCATCGAGATCAGAGTGATCTAAACACCGGACGGCCGTTAAAGTAGTTTGGGGCCGAACTTATCACAGGTATATTGAGCTATAAGAAATTTTAACGTGGACGGTGCAGTTTCTAAATCATTTGCAAATGTATGGTTCTATGTTTGAATGTGTAACGATGTTCTCAGCGGATATTCATGCTATTATACGATTGCGAATGTTACTGTAACTATAGGTCTTTAATATTGCTTGACTGACCGAGCTTAATTGTTCTGTATGATGGAATTTCTTGGGAACTGTTGGACTGAAGTCTTGAGACGGCCTGAAATACGCGTTTCACAAGTACAATACTGGTTCTACCTGTGTCCTTCTGGATTATTACATCTAGTGAATTCCAAATGCAGATAATTAATCCATAATTTAATTTCAAAAACAGTAAAAATGATCGATAAATATATTTGGAATTTCGAGGTTCATTGGGATTTATGTATTGGTTACAGGTTGGTACTGATCACGGACTGACATCAGTTAGAGAGACATTGGAAATCTGAGAGTACTAAATATCTGTTTCGTCCTTGTATAGGACTCCTCAGCAGCGCGCACCCAAGACCCTTTTCCACACTACGACAAAACAACTATCCAGTGCTCCCAGATTTCCAGCCTTTTTTCCAACTGATATTAGTCCATGATGAATACCGACCTGAAATCAATAAATAAATCCTCACAGACCTCCTAAATGAATGAGGCCAGTGTTCATTGATAACTCAGTTCGACAGGCTATTTCCGGAGTTTAGACAAAAATTCATGACCGATGGAGTCGACCAAGTTAGAAATCAGGGCAGTTACTCAACAACTATATTGGATGGAGGTTGTGGTATATCGTGAGCGGACAGAAGTAGGAAATGTAGGCTATTGAATTCCAACCTACTGTCACAGTGGCGTCTTTCTGACTGCAGAACCTTAGGGTCCTGTGTATGAACTACTGAGGAGTCCCATACCGAGAAGAAATAACTGTCTGGCTTCCCCAGGTTTTCAGTAGTTTTCCAACTGCTGTCAGTGTGTAATGATCACCGCCTTGATAATTTTCAGTTTCTTTAAAGAAAGTGAATGTGCTGATGCTTTCAAGTGCCTTTTAGTGGCATTCGTTGATAGAAAATGACTTATTACATAGGAGAAGATTTCTGTCTTTTAACAATCTCGTTTGAAACCCTGCAGCAACTTTTATTTTATTTAAATGGTTCGAACCCTCATGTTGTTGGTAAGCTATCTTGAGAAAGTCAGTATACTGAGGTGTATGTTAATCTCTAAATGTGGAAGCGAATGAAATCGAAAAAGATGGACTGTTTATCATGTTTTTCTGACTTTTGAATTCGGTTCACGTTTGTTGTGCTCAACTCACTTCCAGGTGTATTCTCAAAAAATCAATTTCTTTTCCTTCAATGGCTTTTCACTAGTTCTGACAACAGGATTCTAATCTCTTCAAGTACCATCGCTTTGATCTCTACCTTGAGGTAGTGATATGAAGTATGCTTAGTCAGAAGGTTAGGTAGAGGGAATACGACGTTCTGTAGTATCGATACCCATCTGAGCCACAAATATACTCCACTATTTCAATGTTGATATTTGTCATAATGACTGTTTAACAATTTCGTCTTTATGAATGTACCTTCACAGAAGTGAGCCAGTTGTAAATATGCTCTGGTGATGAAGACAAATATTTTTACTGGAATGTCACTGATTAGAAGTTTTACTCGGAAGTGACAAGGGGTCAGTAAAATGCACTAATACTTCTGTTTTAAACCTAAAATATTCAAGTTCATCCGTATGTAGAATTTCTTACTCCAGTATGTTCACAAATCCTTTTTCATTATGAAAACCGATTAACTAATTACTACTATTGATCTTCGGATAACTTTTAATGCACATATTTGAAATCAAATAGGTTTTTTTACACAGATGATTAGAAGAATATGATAATAATTTTTTCTTCTTCAAAAATCATGTTTTCATCAGTGTGTAGTTGCACCACTTTTAAATTTGATTTTTCATTGACTTTTGTTAGAAGTTCATTTGAAATCAAAATCAATACACTTTGATAAGATGTGATGAGGAATAATATGTGATATTCTTTATGCTTTTGATTACTTTATAAAACTTGAATAAATAAAGAAGATTAAGATTTAACAAGAAAAGGTGACTTTGTAAACTTTATACACTTTTATCAGATGTAGACTGTCTGAAGTTCTGTTGGAGTGAAATTGGTAAATTCGGAAAGATACATAAAGGTAGTGTTATCATAATGAGGAGGTAACGCAACTGACTGCTGATTTTAACCAGAAGTATGGTTTGCTGCAGGGTTCCTATTAAAAGCCTCCAGACTAACGGGTTGGAGTGAGTAGACATAAATTAAATTATATCAGTAATTTGAAATAAATGTGGCATTTAAAATTATCGATCACCGGAAATTAAATTTAAACACACTAGGCCAAACATCTTGAATTGTCATTGGCTAAATACGTGCAGGCAATCAATTGAAATCGATAAGGTGAATAAAGGTGATAATATGATTTGATTTTTGCATCCAACTGGCAAGTTCTAAATAGGACGAAATATGCATCCTAGATTTGACTGTTAGCCACCACCAGTCAAGTGACATCATGATCAATCTTCAAGCAATACTGAGGCATCCACATACAGCTTCACAAGCCGATAGGAGTCTATCCACTTACTCCAGTGGGTTACTACAGGTATCAGTAGATATGAAAAGGCTTAGTATACCTCAGAGTTTATAAATTTAGCAGCCTATTTGGGGACAGAATGAAACTTAAGGTTATAGAAGTGAAATACAAGGTTCTAGAATCGATACGGGGCTGGAGACTTAGACGCTACCAGCAAGAAACCTTGAGTTATGGATTCAGGCTTGTTGCTACTTATCAAATTAACATATCTACACTTAGAAATAGAGAATATGGCATTATTAAACCTTCAGGAGACAACCAATACAGATATTTATATGAAACTGTATATATAATTCCGGAGTTTAAGTACTAACTAATTAAGTTATCCATGCCAAGGCAAGAAATGAGTCGTAGACTAACTTTTATGTCCTTCTAAATGCAATGGTTATGATTTCGCCTCCGAATGGGAATTTCTTCTGTAAATTTAAGAATACTCGAAATGCATTGTGTACTGACTTCGATGAAGAGTCAGACAATGTTGTCGTTACACCTTACGTGTAGAAGATGACAAACGATGTAGGCATTGATGAAATTCTTTTCTTCGAAGAGCAGTCTTATTTAGATGTGTTCAGGGAAGTGGATTGTGTTTATTTTCTTCACCCTTCAAACGTATCTGGTTTAGAAAGTTCTTTGTTAATAGATAACTGTGGTCTGAAGTGGAATACGGTGAAAGTTTATCCACCTTCAGAACTGAACCCATATGAAAGTTAGGTGGCTTGAAATCGTCTCAGCCCAGATGATCCCGATGCAACATGCTTGTAAGGTTAAGTGTGAATAAAGTGCCAGCAGTGGCTACGCAGAATAAAACGAATCGGATTTCTTTTCATGGTTTTATATTTGGATGTGCATATACTGATTAGAATCCCACAATTTATTCCTGTGGGATGATGATGGTGATACGAATGAAAGTAGCATTTTAAATCTATTTAACGAAAATGGAGGTCAGAGTATGTAATATCAATGAAACGATGAAATCAACAAGAGGATCAATTAAGAGCGAGACGTAACTCAAACAAGGTCGGAAATTTGAAGATATTCTGGAATGTCCGAGATAGAGAAAGCAAAGGTTGAAGTCTATAAAATTGAGTAGTGCTGGTAAATGCTATATAAACGCTAGATAAATGCTATATAAACGTACAGAGAGGTTGAGAAGTCTTATAGTGGATTCCGGTCACTGAGTTCAGACCAATGTAGGGGTGAATAGTTGGGGGGGGGGGAGTGGCGTTAAAACGAAAATGAAGATATTGACAGGAAATCTAAACCCAGTTGATCAACCTCTGTCAGCAACACTGAAAGATGTTTTTTACCATCCAAGGTGACTAACTCCATAGCAGTAGTTTAATTTAATATGTGAACACATGAGGAATCCTTTCGTTCGATCGTAGTGGTAAGATACGTCTACTAGCGAGGTTTCTCCTCAGTGCGATTGCTGGAAGTGATTGATGATGTCTTTTTTGTGAAGTTCACGATCGGATTAACTCCCTTAAACTGAAATCTTAGAAAGAGTCGCTTTACACCGCAGTTTAAGGTAAGTGAAAAGATTTGATTATCTCAGGTCTATGCAGTGCTACTGATAATGATGTTGGTAATAAATCTGCCTTCTCAGTAATTCATAAGATTTCTAACCATCTTGGTGGCTAGCTACATTGGCTAACACTTGATGGCCGATTAGCATGCACACTTCCGTTCTGCTGGAGGATCAGTCAAGACCTAAGAAACCTGGTGATAAAGATTATAACTTCAATGCAAAGTTGTGAAAATCCTCAGTAAAACACTAGTTTTTTTAAGATTATTGACACCTATTACTGATTAACGCAAACAGGCACGAAAACTAGCTGCAGCAAGTGGTCATACTGATTGACTCCACAGTGCACGACATTTTCGTATTAATTGACCTAGTGATCATATTGGAGAATCGAACGATCGACTTCGATCAGTGCCGAGGATTTGTACCCTGGCAAACATTGTGCTGATCAACCAGTGACTAACTCTTGTTCACACTCAATCACTTCTTACAACTGTTGAGTTGGGCCGTCATCATTAGGATAATGAAACCAGAACTGTGTTCCAAAAAAGCTGGTACATTCTTCTTTTCTTTCATGGGGCGTCGTTAACTTCAGCTTTACAATCCTCCTACCAATACAACTAAACGAATACCAGTCATTTACGGTTTTCTTGTATGCTTTTATGTTTGTGCACGTTTGTCATCTTTATTATTATTATTATTATTATTATTAGTCCCTTGGGTTCCTAGTGGAACATAGGGCTTCAGTAGCACGCCTGCAGTGACCTCTGTTCTCTGAGATCTTTTGAACCTGGTCCCACGACAGCCCACAAGCTCTCATTTCCTCCTCGCACGACCTCCTCCATGTCACCCTTGGACGTCCAACTCGTCGCTTCCCATGGGGATTCCACTCGAGCAACTGGCCTGACGCGTGATGTCCTCAGTCGGCCTTCTCAGTGCATGGCCAATCCATCTCCACTTCCTCCTGCATATTTGTTGCGTGATAGGTTCTTGGTTGGTTCGTTCCCAGAGTTCCTTGTTGCTTATTCTTTCTGGCCATCTGATCTCCAGTAGCGAGCGTAAGCAGTTGTTGATGAATGTCTGTAGTTTATTGGAAAGGGAAGGTTGGGCATAGGGCTAGCAACCCTACCCCGTAAAACAAATCTAACCGCTAAAGAAACTTCAAAGCACGTTTGTCATCTTATTTTTACTTAATTTTTCAGTTTGTTATTCTTATTCCTACTGAATTTTTACTTTGTATTCATCTACATTTTAAGTCTCACCAGATTTGCTTCCTTTTCCTTAACTGTGATTATTGATTTTCAACGTGTATGCCCATAGGTTTCACTTTTTAAAAGCCGATAGACTATTGCGCACTAAAAAGTTTTCTTCTTCAAGTTTAAGTAACCACTTGATATGTTTGTATTTATTCTGCAATATACTGCACAAAACAGTTACGCTTGATGAGCCTGTAATAAAACTTCATATTCCCTCAGATATTTTGATCTGCCCAACGATACAGTGGATGTATCTTACTGTTATCCATGTTTATTGATTGTCCAAAAGAAAACGTAATTTAGTTTAGAAACTATCCCGTTTTTCTACTTTTCCTGCTGATGAATTAATTGTCTCAACTGTGAGCCATTTTATTCTTCGCGCCAAAATAATCCTTTGTTCAAATAAGCTGGTAAAGAATTTAAATTCAAAGTTTTCAATCATATCCAGCGTAGAGAATTCTGATCCAATGTTAATTGCTTTCTGACAGCTGAATACACCTTATCTAAATAACCACTTCCAGTGAGTATGATCTTCAGTCTGCGTTTATTTTGTATACGAAATAAACGTAGCTGGTTGCTAGGTGTTTCACTCATCTTGCTCGCAAACTGTAACATAGGAGTTGCTCTGAAGATGCAGATCTTTAGGCGCAATTTCGGTATTGATAACAGATAGTGGCCAGTAGTAGAATCTAAGACGCACGTTTCCTTTTATTTGGGAGTCGTCAACTGGATGTACCTGCCTCAATATTTCTCAGAGGCACACACAATTAATCCACTCTATACACCACATATTTCTGAACTATGAAATGTGAGACCTGGTTAGAAGAGGCATCTGGGAGTTCAGTTGGTGGAGCACTGTGCTCGCTCAAATTCTGTCTAGACCCAGGTTTTCACCCTGTATCAAGGAGAGTAGTCTGATTAAGTTTGATTTGAATATTTCTATCACATAACGTGGGTCGCACTACTGACTTGTTCAAATATAGTAACTGCTGATGTACGCTAAACCGTTGCTTTTATGAGTTGTCCTAAAGGAGAACCAGCTTGTGTGGAAGTTCCTTCAGAGAGAATAAAGCTTTCAAATAGATAAGTTGAAAAAGTATATTTCTATGGGAATGAGTAAGCATATACGTTTTCAGCAGTCGGGAGTGTCCACAAAATTTGAGTTACATCCGTTGGAAGTTGTCTGGTTCGAGTTGTCGGCACATCATTTCTTGTAGGCATTTTCACACGTAAAAGTCCTGGACAAAATTTTTTGACTGAGTGAGTTCAGCGTAAAAGTTATTCACTCTCTTAAGTTTCAAAATTAGTAATCGTAAGCTGACCTTTTAAAAGATTCTGGTGATTGCTGACTCCACAATTAAAACAATAACGCTAAAGACGATAAACGAATAACTAGCTGTCAGCTTTGACTTGCTTAGTTTTCTCAGTGAGTGTGTGATACAGAATCAGGTCTCTAGTGGGGCATGAGTTTCCTTGTTTTCACTTATCCATCTCGCTAGGAAGTACTGAAAAGCTTGAAACTTGGGATAATGTAGAATGTTAAACATTCAACATCATACTTGTTAAATCATAATGTTCAGTTCTTGGGCCTGAACTGGTAGGTCTTAGACTTGATTGGTATGATTCTGTCCCCTGTTGAAGGTGCGAAAAATGGACGCCGGTCCCTATTCAGTGATTTTTCCTGTTATCAGGGTTAGAAAGTTTGTTTTAACAAGAATTTTCAAGTGAGCAGCACTGAAAAGAATAAATGCAGACGTTGTATTCATCTTAGTGACTAGTAAAGGAACGAAGCACGTGCGTTTACTCCTATTCGTGACTCGTCAGTTGAGTGTATCTGCATCGGAGTGAGTGATTTGGTTCCCACACGGACTCAAACCTAGTGCCCAACGCTTCAAACACCAAGCGAAATTCTGAACATGTATTCGAATATAACTTCTTTATTAGCGTGTCAAGTCAAATTCCGTCGAATAAGCTATTCAGTATGGATACTTAGTTAAGGAATACGGCTTCATGGGGGTCTATGTTTGCTGCTGTTCCGATAGAATCACCAGCTATGCATCCTATAACTAACTACGTTCAACATCTTGGAGATCAATCAAATGTCATAATAGTTGAACATTGCACCGATACACGACTGCTTGAGGTGTCATCCATCCTTTTAAGTGTACATGGGAATAATTCTGGGGAAAAAAAGGAAAGGATAATCGAATTTCGAGCTGCACTGATTCTATTATACAAATACAAACAAACATTGTTAAGCTCGTCACTGACTGTTATCAAGAAGCCTAACATATAAATACCGATTAAGGAGTAGATAACATGAAATTGGTTACTCTTAAGCGACCAGTCATGGTATTTAATTTAGCCCTACAAGGGATCAATCGCAGCTCGATTAGCCCGTGGGTAACCAAAAATAATATAAAGTTTCGTTTTGTTACCCAGTCAGTAATAAGGGTTGAAAAATTTGTTTTCATTGTACTTTTTCGCTAAACTTGGACTTGTTTTTCAATCGGAACTGAAGTGACTTACATTATAGTTGTTAGTGTTACCAAAAATGTTGCAAAGTTCAGTTTCTTTTTCTTTTTGACAATGGCTTTCAAAGTACTTTTGTATGTTATTAATTTCAAAAGTCGATAAATATACAATAATGATAGAGTTTAAATTTTGATGAATCATCTGCAAACAGAGAATATTGAATACGGTGAATTAGTCTGAACATGTCGCTAAGTGTTTGAATAATGTGGATACAAGTTTTTGAAACCAACATTAGACACTAACTAAGACTGTCTACAAAAATAGCAACAGACTGTAAGGCTGACGAGTTTGGAATTTAATCGAATATGAAGTTGATGTTTATTCTGAAACCAAATTTCTCTTTACTCCTAGAATTAAAAAAGTTATTGACAGACGTAAGTTAATTGGATGTAATTGTATGTAAGCTCTTGACCTACTTTTCCCACTTGTTGGCATTCGCAAGCGAGGCGTATCTACAACCTCAATGGAAATGATGCCTTTTGAGAGATGCTAACTCATTTCACCCGGCGAAGCAGTCAGAGAGGTAGACAATTAGCTTAGTGGCTAAACTGTAAAACCATTACTTATGACTAGACATGATGAATGACCTGTAGGGAGTGCTGGATGCGTTTTAGTGCCAGGAAGGTGCACTAGAGACGAATCAATGTATGGAATGCAGCCCTAGAAAAAGTCAGTCACCATCAAAATAACTCACTGTTAACGCCTCCGATTACAACACTGGATGGGATTGGTTTGAATATCTCAAGGAACATCAGTTCCTTTGAGGTTGATAATACACCCTGCTTACATGTGGTAGCACATGGGATACTTATGTCAAACAGGGCGTCCTGCCGATTGCCTCTAACAAGCTAATATGCATCTGATGATGAGATTTTTAACTTGGTGGCCATAACGCAAAAATCATCTGCAGAATTCAGTCAGCCCTGAAGACTAGACAACATGGAATTGGTTACTTCCCACTGACAAATCAGTATGTAGTTATTGACAATTATTCAAAACAAGGATGGTGCTTCTAGTAAAAATACTTTCAAATGTCAATTTTTTTACTGATATGTACATGTAGTCAAACTTTTTTCCCAATTACCTGAAACAACTTCGTTGGTGAAACATTCGGTGCTCTTCACTTTTGTTATTTGCGTTTAAACTTCGTCTTGAACATTCCTGACAAACCGAATTGCTAAACTTTAATCTATCTCTAGGAAATGAGCTCTCTTTTTCTTAATAAACCTGATGGAATCATTACACGTGGTTGGGTGTACAAGGAATCAGTCTCTGCATAAACGACCACTACTAGGATCCGATGAAGAAATCCTGAAAGCAGCTCTCAGCTGCCATAGCACGTGCTTAAACATCATGAAGGGCATCACCCATCGAATCGGGTCATCTTAAAATAAAGACTTTAGTGATTGGAACATATTTTACTTATTTCGTCTTAGGAGCTTCTATACCACTGTCTGTCTGCTTGCCTTAGGACTGCATGCAAGAGGCCGAGAAGTAGTCCATGTATGACTTTGAAACTTCTTAATGAAGAGTACTTTTTGCAAGGTAAGTCTCTGTTGGGAAATCGAAATTCTTTGGATGGTGTCTGAGATATTACGCAACATAATGGCTCATGAAGTTATCAGATATTATTCAGAATTGAAACAAACGGTGATTCTTTTGTAGCTTTCTTGTTTTTACTACCATCACATTTTACTGTTGTTCACGCCGTTCAGCAAATATGTATGTTTTCAAATAATTACAGTTAGTGCTTATAATTATCCGTATTAAATCTGTTTCCTCAATAATATACTTTTAACAACAACCCCGGGCATATATATCTTTTTTATCTGCACATATTTTTGGTCCGGTTCTGTGTGCGCACTCTTTTCTTTCTTCCAGATAGCTCCACCGGATTTCCAAGGAGGGGAACTGTGTGGAGACTGCAGAAAATTACTTATAAATTAAGAATGTTTCCTTTTTGTCATTTTTTTTACACATTTTGTACATTCTCCCTAATACTTGTAAAAATCAGTGTTTTTTATCTGTACAACGGAAAATTGGAGTTTTGGTTGTGGTGGTATCACTCTACTTCTGCTTCTAAAACCTGGAAATACAGTGTGCTTTTATCCACTCCGACGTCTGCTTCCGTCAGCTACTGTCTGAGTGAATACTCCTTGGATTTTACAGGGCCTCTAATCCTACTTCCAAATATCACGACAATCAAGCCCACCAACGTAGACTCTGGAGCGCTAACAAGTATCGCCCTCTGAACTAACATTGAAGCATAATAAGTTGCCGTGGACATTCAAGCAACAAATTATTATCCATAACACTGATATGACTATTTTGTAGGATAACGCGTAAATTTTCATATTTGTGTATCACTATATCTATTTTAGTTAGCTATACTTAACTTGGTATTTTAGTTCACTTGACTTTTCGTTGGGTCCACTACCGAATTTATAGGACATGGTTAAGCTGCCTACGTCTGGAAGCACTTTTTCGTAATGAATTATGAACCAGTGGGATCCTGTAAAGAAGTATATAACGTGGGTAATCTTCGTTAGTACTTTCCAAACGGAAATGGATCTCTATCGTATTTCTACTAGCGATTATCAACCAGATTAGTGACATTCTACACTTATACTTGAAGACCTAAGCCCTGAACCCAAGATTTTGAAAAAAATATTGTTTTATTTTCCTGTTAGCTTTTATGACGACGATTGCTTAACTGCATATGTGCAAAATACTAGGTAGTCGTTCACTGTTTCAGGTTGGTATGCAGTATAATACGATGCAAAACAGCTTAGAATATGGAGAGATGACAGATATGATGGTGGGGACTCATGGTAACCGCCCTGATCTGAGGTCATCTGACCTACACTGGTAATAAACAAGTCTTTGAGAAAGACTCCAAACATCCTGCAGCTAGTCTGTTGATGAGGGTCACAGAATTAATATTGGGACAGCCTTTACAACTTTGTATGGAAACTGTCAGGGGCGTATGCTTAAGTTTGTTGATGCGCTGGCCATCAACAAATTTAACCCCCTATTGTGTCCCCAAACAGTTTGTCCTTACGCTAAACCTACCAAGGTAATGTCTATTTTATGGCATTACCGGGGTTGTCTTCAATTCTTATCTTTTTCCCTTTCATTATCTTTCTTGTTATTGAATTCCTTTGTCATATTTGTCCTTCCCCCACTTCCAGTTTTCATACATAATGCCTTAACTAGTAAATGTGATCAGATTATTCGAAATGTATGGCGCAAATACACCATGGTTTTCAGACAAACTACGTCCTCTAACTACGTTGTCCAAATTCATAAAAGGGACTAATTGTTTTGAAATAATATAGCTTATGATTTCAACCAAGCCACGATGCCTATATTAGGAAAAAAAAACAATGGTAAAGACAAACTTCCCATCACAAAATAAGCTCTTTAAACTCCCACTATATGCTTTACATCCGTCCTTCTCTTGAGATCCCACTGTCTTTTCCCCTCTGGTACCACAACCCTACGTGTGTATAGGAAAGTTTTTACTAGCTCCCAAATGTAGAACAAATTCACTATCTTTAGGTACTTGTAACACAGCTAATGCTCAGGTCTGAGAAATGCACCATATAAGACTTTGAAGATATTCCTTAGGTACAGTGTTAAACTACGTAGCCTATTATTGCCCGTGTTTTCTTTACATACTTTAGTCTTCAGTATTGTTGCCCCGAATTCTAAGACTGAATCCGCCTCTCATGCCTCTGTGTCTCCCTTTCTCATCCAATATGCAGGTTATGACTGCGAATCATATCAACGCACACTTAGCATTGAAATAAACTTCGAACGTTCATTCAGGATCTGCAAACTATCGTTTCCTACTGCCTAAAGATGCAGAAGAAAAAAATCAGAAAACAATTCGTATGGACTTCATGGCTACAATTGAAGTTCCATCCAGAAATGTTGGTAACAAACGCTGGCTGCACCAAACGTGCACGTTCATCGACTGCCGACAATCACTCACCCAGTAACGAAGCAAACCGAAAGTGATCTCATATGTAGCGCTAACCTTGAAAGCTTATTGAACGGTCCAGCGATGAAACCCTCCATATCCTCCGCCGTAATATGACAACAAGAGCTGGGTGAAGTTAAAAAATTGGCTTAACTTATTCGAGTGACTCTGCCTGTAACATAATGGACCCAAACAATTGCCACACGCTGTATGACACCATACGAAACTAATCCCAAAGTGCCCCCACCCCCGTTCATCCCATTATTTAACTCTGGTTTCCACTGCCATCTTCAGACAACATGAGATTACTGAATATTCATGTTCTTTCAGCCTCATTTATGCATTCAGTACACAATGTACTGCTGCTGATTATGTGACCTACTTTTGCCAAATTAAGTCCATTAGTTATGGAACGGTGAACGCACCTAAGTATGACAGTCTGAAGACAGGTGAAGCCAAGAATAGAGTTGCAGTGAATTCAGATCGACTGCGAACTGCGTTAAACTTTCCACGCAAGCGAATGAATTGCATACATTTGAGGGCAAAGCAGATGAAAACTAAAGGTCGAACAACACATAAATGAATTGCGCCGGAAGTCAGAAAAAGGCATCACGGTTAAAGACAAATCTGTGATCGGTATCAAACTGACGGTCAGTTCTGACCCCCACCCCACTTCCGTGATACGAACCATATGGTTCTACTGGAAAGTATATCCACCAAACTGAAGATGATCCATTCTAGGCCAGTGTCTGCAGCAGAGCTTTCACATATTTCTGGCCTAGCAAATAAGAAACAGCCGCTACTTACAAGGCCGACTTCCTCTGATTTAGGTAAGGTCTTGCATCTGCTAACTGTAACCGAAAAATGATCTGCAAATCCCTCCTGAACATCCAGTTTGATAGTATTGACATTTATTTGAATATTTTTACCCTCGTTATGGATGGCGTACCTCTGACCCTAGCCGGTTTAATGTTATTTGGTTGCTTGACCGTCTTCTTTGCCACCGCACTCAGCATCTGCCTTGTATGATTGAGACTTATCATGAATGTTTCACTTTCCTATCATGTGACGCTGGACTGCTGATAACCCCCGACATTTCGTTTTAGTTCAACTTACGGTTGTGCTGTGATTTGACTGTTCGTCTTTTGACTGTCTACAGCAAACGTTTATTCGTTGATTTGATTCCGGTAGACAGGCTTTTGATCCCTTTTGTTGGGAATGTTCCTACTGACTCCCAGGTACTTAACAATTGTATTTGTTTAAGCAGTTTGTACCGCATATTACGTATTTGCACCCGGGAACGTTTGGACTGTATAGTTACCCAACGGTGTTGTTGAGGTATTTTTGTAATTTCGATATAACTTATTGTTGTTTTGATAGTATCACAGACTTTAATATGGGTCTACCACTGATTTACTACAAACCCTGTTTTGATATTTTGATCCAACCCTTGACCGTGTGTCACTCGTGGAAGTTGGAAAGTTATGCAGTAGAACGCCGGAACTAGTCAGATTTACGTAAGTTGACACCGCCTAGTTATTTCCCGCTTTCAGACGAAGACTATTGGATTTCGGTTGTTACACTAACCTCACCTGGTTAACTGGTTCACTAGTTACTAGCCGGTCCTAAGCTCGGGTAAAGAGTGAGGGCTGGGCATACGACTAGCAACCCTAACCCGCAAAACCAGTCCAACCGCTACAGAAAATTCAGTGCACAAACAAAATATAAAAATAACAACAAAATTATTTCTCACTGGAATTGGGGAGACGAAATGAAGCCGGTTGGTGAAAGCCTTCGGGAAGCCAATCGGCTGATGTGTCTTCTCTCGATGCAAGTGAAAGTAAGGACGGTGACATGGAATGTCCGCAACATGTTTGAACCCAGCAAGGCTGCCCAGATATCAAAAGAGATGAGAATGTATAGCACAGAACTGGAAGGAATCTGGGAAAGCAGGTGGAATGGAAGTGGACTCTCGAAGTTGTCGACTGGAGAGTAAATAATCTACTCCGATGTTGTCACCCAGACGACAACCACGAGCACAGCACACTGAGTTGTGGAGTGGCTATCATGATGTCCCCAACAGCATCGAAGGTTCTCTCTCATGCAGTGGGAACCAATCTCCTCCAGGATCATAACAGCAAGGTTCAACTCAAAAGGAAGGAAGGTCACAATCATACAATGCTACGCTGTGCACCTACAAATAATGCAGATCAAGAGAAGAAGGAGGAATTCTACAGACAACTGCAATCAACACTGGACAAGACGTCAGTTGGCGATATCAAAATTCTAATGGTTGGGGTGACATGAATGCCAGACTGGGAGGGGACAGCACAGGAAGAGAACTAACCATGGGTCGAGAGGCGCTAGGTGAAATGAATGAGAATGGGAAACTGTTTGCAGACTTCTGCTCATTTTAACGATTTGATGATTGAAGGCATTGTGGTCAAGCACAAGGATACTCGTAAAGCGACATGGATTCGAGTTCATCAGATGGACACACTAAAATTTAAACCGACTTCATCTCAATCTGAAAAAAGTGGAGCCTACTGGGTACAAGATCAAGAAGGGGAGCAGATGTAGGTTCACACCTCTCAATACCTGGTGCAAGGAGCCTACCTTCAAAATCAAGTTGAAAACCCTCAAAGAAGTTGGTGATAGACCATAGTATTAGGAAGGAAGAAGTGAGAAGTTAAGGAACGGATCCTGATGGACATATGGAAGCTGACAGAGTAGGAGGAAGATGCTGGTGTTGAAGCAGAAGATAAACCAGTGCAAGGATGAACGAAGAGAAGAGAAACTGAGTACAACATTTAAAACCCCACACTGGACAAAGAAGTGAAGAGGAGTTCACGTAAAGACAAAAAACACTTCTACAACACACTGGCAAGTGAAGCAGAACAGGCTGTTGTTACAAGAGACCTATTAACTTTAGGTCATATAACCAGGTTACTTGCTGTCTGGGAAGAAATCAACGCAGATGAAAGCAATAAAAGATGATGATGGAAATCTACTTATCAAAGAGAAGAAACAAGGGAAACAGTGGGCTGACCACTTCGAAAAGCTTTTGAATCTACCACCACCTGTACTTCGTACAGAAATGCCACCTGCAGCCACAAAACTACAAGTGAACACAAATCCCCCAACAAAAGTTGAAGTCCTGAACGCCGCAAAGCTACTGAAGTGCGGGAAAGCAGCGGGACCGGATGGAAACCCTCCAGAAGCACTGAAAACAGACGCAGAGACAACAGCGGACATGCTCACACCACACCACTACTGCAGAAGGTCTGAAAGGAAGGGAAGGTACCTGACCATTGGTTGGAAGAAAGGCTACCTTGTCAGACTCCCAAATAAGGGAGACCTAATTCTTTGCAAGAACTGGCGAGAAATCATGCTCCTGTCCACCCCAAACAAAATACTAAGCAGCATCATTTTGGAGAGACTAAAGGATGCACTAGATTCAAAACAACGACCGGAACAAGCTGGCTGGATTTAGGAAGTACAAATCATGTGCGGACCAAATTGCAACGCTTCGCATCATCATAGAACAGGGTATATAATGGCATTCAGCTCTACACCTCAACTTCATCGACTTTGAAGAGCCTTTGACAGTGTTGACCGACAGGTAATTTGCCATGCAGTTGCTTCAATACTACGGGATACCACAAGCCTTTATCAACCTCATTCAATAGCTAAATGAAGATGCCACATGCCAAGTAATTTACAATGGGAGGCTCAGTGATGCTTTTGAAGTGAAGATAGGCAGGAGTAAGACAAGGCTGCCTACTATCACCCGTGATATTCCTGATCGTGGTCGACCGGATCATGCAAGAAGCAACTGTGGGGAGCAAAAGGATGGGCATATGCTGGCTGGACCGATGAAAACAGCCTAGATTTGGATTTCACCGCCGCCGATGTTGATTTATATCTGATGTCTTGTTACACAGGCTCGAAAATCTACCGGCGAAAACTAACAAGGTGGCAGGAGAGGCAGTGGAGACGGGAGTTCAAGTGAATGTCGAGGAGATGGAGATGATGAGGATACCCAACCAACAACAGCATCAACAACAAGAGGCACCAGTCATCATGAATAGGAAAAACCTATAAGAAGTAGTTCCTTCCACTTACCTAGGCAGCATCGTTTCAACTGCAGGCAGCACAGACGAGAATGTCAAAGCCAGGATCGGGAAAGCAAGACAGGCACTCATTAACTTGAAATTAGTGCAGGGATATCCCGCACTCAGCATAAAGCGTGAACAACATCCGAACTTCCAACACCAACGTGAAGTCAGTGCTTCTTTGTGGTGTTTCAGAGACTTGGCGTGTCACGAAAAGCATTTTCAACGAACTAAAGACATTCACCAACAGCTGCCTATGCTCGACACCAAAGATCAGATGGCCAGAAAGAACAAGCACCAAAGAACTCTGGCCTGGCAACGAAGCAACCGAGAATCCGTCGCCCAACAGATATGCAGAAGAAAGTGCAGATGGATTGGGCATACACTGAGAAGACCATTCGTGGACATCACGCGCCAAGCCAGTTGCTCGAGTGTAGTCGAAAGGGGAAACGACGAGCTGGGCGTCCGAAGGTGATATGGAGGATACCATGTGAGGAACAGTGGACAGTTGTGGAGCTAGGTTGAAAAGACTGCAGAGAAGAGAGTAAAAGGAGACATGCTACTGAAGCCCTAAGTTCCACTAGGAACCCAAGGACCAACTAATAAAATATAATAATTTACATTTGCCACTAGCAATAATAGTGCCAGAAAGTGAGCTACTACCAGATGCCCTATACTCCGGGAGAATCATGATAATGTGGCCCTCTGTCGATATCATTTGGGCTTACTTTGAGGCCAAGGATTTAGTGATGTGAAGAATGCCTGAAAGTCCGGGTACCAAGGGGATCCCCTGGGAATTTTTGTCAGCGAGACCCTTAAAGAAGACTGTGAATCCTACTGTCATAGCGACATGCGGATCCCTGATAAAAATGACGGCAGTATCCAAGGCTGGTTCGAGAAGTGTTTCAGCCCTGCTATTTGTCAC